GGTCTTGTGTGTGTTGCTTTCGTGCATCATTTCTGCGTGATCAGGGCGCTGTACGTGTGCTAGCCGATTTTAGCGTTACACTTCAAGCTGTTGCTATTGCATTCATTGCTTCCCACTTGCGGAGAAACTGTGACTTTCGTTTTTTTATGATTATATCGCTACCACCAAGGAGGATCAAAAAAATTGCTGGAGTGGAAACGATTACACAGAAGTGAAGCCGTTCCTTTGGCAAAATGGCGGCTGTGGCGGCCATCTTACTAGGGGCATGATGAGGTATCACCGTTCAGCGATTGAAAACGAAGCGTTTCCCTCGCACGCCCAACGAGTTTATTGTGGGAACTCTTTCGGGTCACATAGTGCTCCAAGTGCGTCTTAATGTTGCTAGTTTTCCGTAGTGAGCCTCTAATTGGAGGCAAAGTTCTTTGAAGATTAAGTCAATCATACTCGTTTCTGTGTGTTATTTCGTTGGGAACAAGTATCTTTTACTATATAACTAACGTAGCATTTACATAACGTATCAAATCCACTAGAACTTTAAGTGGGCACTATCAGAAAAGAGCATGTTTCCGCCATCTTGGCAGTGGCAAAAGGTGGCTTCACTTCTGCTGGCAAGGCATTGCGGGAGCTTCCACTCCAGCAATTTTTCTTTAATCCTCCTTGGCTACCACAACCATTTCCGCATGAGTGTGCATGGCTGTGACTGCTAGATAGCTCAGCAAAGCAACTATCATATGAGTTTTTATAAACGTCGAAGCAGCACATCGATAGATTTCGTGGCTTGATGTCGACAGAATGAGGCTTACTTCGAGGCATATGTCGTACCCGGTATTATTTCGAACAAGAGAAACGCATTTCGCAGTGACTCGGGCATCCTCGTCTTCTATAGTCTGCTCCACATCATAAATGTGACTATTAAGCTTTACTCATTTCATTATATACGCTTTTCAGAAGTGTTTTTACAGTTCAGAGATCTTTGTGTAGCTGCAGTGCAGGTGGTTCATAGTGACGTGACTCAAGCGCAACGCGCGTGCTCTGCACGAGTACGTAAGCAAATGGCAGCGCGTTGACGGGGAGGGTAAACGCGCGATATACATCCCCAATTCGTACTTTTCTACCAGAGATGGCGCTGCCTGTTCAGAGTCGCAGCGCCACCATGCGTTTCTTGGCCGCCCTATACCTAGGAGGAGCGCGAACTAACTAGTGTAACAGTTGATATTGTGCTATGTTCCAAAAGCATGGTCTGCCACATTCCCTTTTCTTGTGGCACCTTGTACATTGGGACTACCAGGTGCTGTATTAATGAACGGGTTAGGGAGCATGAATTAAATATAATGAAAGATGGCTTGGCGCATTTGCCTATGCCTTGTAAAGCCTGCGGGTGTGTGCCACCTTTTAACGAGGTTAAGATTCTAGGTAGAGTAGGCATAAAACTGCGCGTGAGTAGTTAGAGGCATACTACATTAAAAAGAAAGGAGAAAATTGTATAGGCGAACCGTCGGTGACATTGTACTTATCGGAAGAGACATTGTTCGGTAGCTGGATAGCGTAAGGCTGTGTGAAGACTACGCATGTCTGTATGTTGTTATTTAAGTCTGGATTTTCAACCGGTCTACTTTAGTTGGAAGTGCCGCTAGTGCTTGTCGTTGAGTGTTTATTTACTCTGTGTGTGTGTTATTTGCGGCCAAATTATGTCAGTAAGCAAGTACCAACTAGGCCAACATTCAGTATTGTTACAATATCCTACCTTCATCATCCATTCACGTCCCGTAATGCGAAATTTGGTATAAGGAAAGCTAGTGAAACCGCCGCCGGCGCATCATGAGCGTGCCGTGTAGTCTTGTTGTTAGATGACACGGATCTCAAGATTATCCTGTTTGCACCAGTCACATACCTTCGTCATTCATTCACGTACCATTATACCAAATTTGGTATATGTGACGCTAGCGGAACGGCCGCGAGTGCATCATGAGCATGGCATGTACTTATGTTGTTAGGTGACACGCATGTCATGATTTTCATGTTAGGGTCTATCACTTGAGTTCGCCGTGCAATCATGTAATACATTACCAGTTTTCCCACATGCCATGTGAAGAAAACCACCGCAAGAGCTGTAGACCCATGAAATGTTAATCATGACATTTTTGACATACATGTCGTAATTTTCATGTTATGACTAGTCAAAGTTGTTTTACATACAGCCATGTTATGCCATACCAAGTTTGGTATCGATATTATTGTAGATACCATTATCGATATAGATAGATAGATAGATAAATAGATAGATAGATAGATAGATAGATAGATAGATAGATAGATAGATAGATAGATAGATAGATAGATAGATAGATAGATAGATAGATAGATAGATAGATAGATAGATAGATAGATAGATAGATAGATAGATAGATAGATAGATAGATAGATAGATAGATAGATAGATACGCTCAAAGTCACCGAAGTTCGCTAAGAAATGCTTCGCATTTAAAAGCTGAAACAAATAAAGTCCAAAGATTGGCAGCCGAACATCTTCACATCCAAGCACAATTCTGCAGTCACAATTTTTTCATATTTGTCTTACTACCATTTTTGCACACCACGTCAGAAGTGACCTTACAATGTCTGGAAAAAAATTGCTTTGGTATCTGCGTGTTAAACTGCAAGTATTGTCAAAGCACAATAGTTTTGTATCTGGAAAAAGTGAACAAAAAACGTTTATTTGACGTTCTTCGCCAGAAAATTGGTGACCTTTATCCTGGAGGCCCTGCGTTAGAGTACCTCGATGCGTGCAGTGGAGGCAAACGACCGCATCAAGGCACGTCGCGGGTGAGACATGAGCGCTATCAGGCAGTTATCTTGGAAAACGAAGGACGCGGCCTGCGCGCCCGTCTCGGAGGTGATAGAGCGTAGAAGTGAGGTGATAGAGTGTAGAGTGTAAGGCGACGGGTAGATGCCACCACCGCGTCGTCTTAGAAAAGCGGTGGAAACAGTTGCGTTTTCATGCAAGTGTTGCATTGTCAGCGCAACGTGATAAAGGCTATGGTCCGCAGAATTACCTATGTATGCCTTTTCTGGTATAAAGACACACATACATAATATTGACGTGTTGTTATGGTGCCTCAGATATGCGAGATACTTGCTTTTTAAATGACAATCGCACAAGTATGAACGCAATGTCGCATTCTTAGAAAATGCAGCCGCCGAGCCAGGATTTGATCCCATGACCAGCGGGTCAGCAGCCGAGTACTTTATTATTGCGATTGACCATTATGTGTGCAGAAGATTCTAGAAACTTGGGCATCTGCCTCAGTTGCGGAGAAATCGACTAAAGCACTCCTACTTTACTTAACGTGAACAAACCTGAGCGACCGCCTGTAGACTTTGTGTGCTCCCCCGAGTGCGCTCGTGATTGTGTGTACCTTTTTAACTCTCTACAACCTCTTTTCTCCCCTTCATCCCTTTCCCAGTGCAGAGCAGCAAACCGGATGTGCGTTTGGTCAATCTCCCGGCCTTTCCTTGCATCTTTATCTCTCTCTTGCAATTATATGGACACTCTCGGCTGCAGTTCACCGCCGGCGTCGATGTCATGGACCGTATATGCATGGGTATCTCTATATATGAAAACGCCAGAAAGAAAAAAAATCAGAAAAAGGACTCAGGTGCGCGGAATTGAACGTAGATCCTCCACGCCGGGAATGCAAATGTTAACCACTGAGCTACCGAGAGGTACCTCCTTAAACATTTACACGGCAAGCTCCCACTTACCACTTACCGCTGTTGGCTCCCACTTACCGCTGTTGGCGGGCATCTCAGAAAAAAACTATCGTGTTTCTAGCATTATCAGCAAGATGGCGCAATGAGCGTGCGGCAGCTTTCACATCCCACGCGTACTTCGGCCCGCAGGTAGGAGGAGAGTAAGCGAACTCTCGCGCGCCCTTATCTCCTGGTGTGGAGGATCATACGTATTGATTGGCGTTTGGCTTGCACCAGAACTATTCTGCTGTAGTTACGGGGCGCACAAAGGTCACTGCAATCGTTGCAAAGCTTCCGTTTGCGAAAAGGGCCCGCTTTTCAGGCACAACGAAGTAACAACTGAGACGCGTATTCACGTTCATCTGTGTCAGTGAGCACGTTTCTTGCGTCAGTTGTGTGTGAGAAACGCGGGGCACGTTTCTGTCTGCTTGCCATTCTGCGCATGGCCTTCCGATGTGTTGCTATCGCGTTCATTGCTTCGCTTTTGCGGCAAAGCTGCGGCTTTTTTTTTCACTAGACACCCGCGGTGGGGCCTTGCCGTTGTGTGAAAATCAGTCCAAGTAAAATGGGACTCTCAGACAGAGATCCACATAGGTGCATAGTTTGTTGGTGACATTTGCATCTTTCGCCTCCTAACAAGTAAATGTTTAAATGTTTAAAGCACATTTATACGTTATCGGACAATATCACAGACTACACGGGAGTGAAACAACTAAAACGCAGAAGTATATACCTTGATTGTCAGTTTGCCGCACCTTGCCAAGTTACCTAAGTATACCTATGAGCCAAGTAGCCCACCCTTAATCATGTTGTTCAGCTCAGTGAGAGTCACCATGCAGTAGAGTGTGTATAGTCTCATTACTTGTGGTACACCCCATTCTAGGACAGTGGCTCCTTGGGCTTATAGCATGTCAAGACATAGTTTTAGCACCAACTGGGGACAAAGAACAGACGAGGACGAGTACTTTTCTAGAGTACCTCTATACAGTCCACACACAGCCACGTGGCAGGTTTGCTACTCATTGTCTTCATTTATTCTTTCATATCAATGACCATTCCTGATCATGGAAAACATTACAGCTTAGCCCAGGGGATTGCGGCATTTACAGCAGTGCAGTAGCTAGACCAGAAGGTCTTTTGAGAGTGCCTGGTCTCTTAGAAAGTATGTCTTTTTGTCTTCACTGTTTTGTTTTTTGAGGACAACAGCAGGCGAAATGCCCTTTTGCAGTGACGTAAACACGTATACACACTTGTCAGGTCAATCATCATTCTTTATTTATCTAAACACATACATTCATCATAGCTTATCTATACAGAATGATTTGATTACAAAGTTCTAGTTACATTCTTCCAAGAGCACTTCCGCTCAATATTCCTGCTAATATATGGGTATTCAACGAAAATGCTACACAGTGTTTAACAGAGACGAGTATAACGACAGCAGTGAGGCCACTTTCCACCGTATCTAACGTTTTTGCAATTACCGTAGCCGCTGTCACGAGGAGGTGATGGTTGTCGGCATCTGCAGTGAAAAAAAAAATACCTTAAAGAACACTGAAAAGACTATTTCGACATCTCTCAAGTTTTTTGCAATATATCTCTACCACAAGGTCCCTATATTACAGCAAAAGCTCTCTAATGCTATGTGCCCCAAGGTCATCCTTTGCATTCGACTCATATTGAGCCGCCATTACATGACTGTGAAAGGCGCGACGTCACGCCATGAGTTCTGCTGCAGATATGTGTGACAGCTACGCTCAGGTAACAGGATAACATTAACACCTAACAGATATAAACTTTAAAACTGTCATGCTGGATGTTTTGCAAACTGATCAACAACGTTCTCTTTGTAATTTTTCACGCCACTTTGTTCTTTCAGAAGTTAGTTTAAAAAATAAGACACCTGATAAATCATTCGATTGAAAAATTAAAAGTACTCTCACTCCAGGCAATGGTGAGCAGCATTCATTTGATTTTATCATCACTTCGTGTGTTGGCATATTTTTAAACTCGGGCTAAAGATGTGTGTGTGTGTTTTGTATTTAACGTTAAGGCAACTTAGTGAGGTTACTCATTGATGTCTTAGCTCTGTGCTAGACAGCAGCGATGTGAGAGAGCAAATTGACGGACATTCTTCCGTGCTTACTTAGTTACAGAGACGTTTCCGTTGCGGCGGCACCACCAGTATTCACAAGGATATTCCTGTGCTCCATAATACCCCGGAGGCAGTGTTGTCCCGTTGTGGTGACAAGGACCTGAAAAAAATAACAGAACGTTGACTTCATATCAGGTGCGTTTACTGGCAATGAACCTCGAGCAAGTCATAATGGGGCGATGGAGTGTTCAGCAAATTAAAGTAGAATCTTTGTCGGTAAACCACTGTATAGAACAATTCGCGATTAACATGAAACCAATAGGCACATTCATATATACTTCGGTGGAAGCTTCCTTAATTCAACATACTAGTTTTTTTGTAAATCGCGAAATAGTTGGCGGTTTGCACGTCACATAAAACCCACTCGCCTGGACGCCACTATAGTGGGCCACTTACAGGAGGTATAGGCTCTCTGCAGAAAAATTCTGTCTTGTGTGAGGGCGCATCTAGTGTAAACTAGCGCTGACTTCACGGGATGCTCTCACACTCTCGTACTAGGGCGAAATCGCCAAGCGATGCCTTTTCCTGTGCCAACGCTCTTGACGTTTCACAAACTTGGCCTCTGGTTCAGATTATCAACGCGATCAGCAAGTGGTGTATACAATACACTGAATAGCAGAAGATGGTCGATGACCAAGCCTTGTCATTGTGGTACAGCCATAAGCGCTTTTAACCAGAAAACTTGTATGCGTGGCCAGGGCTAGTTTGATTGAGGCCAGCCGCAAAGTGCTGGGCGCTTTTGCCGAGATAATACCTCGGTAGCCTTGGATAGTATGTCGCCATGTGTGGTTGGCATCTTGGCAACAGAACCCAAACGTACGTGGTGTCAGCGTCAATCAAAGTGCTGCAGGACACGTGGCGGAGCGTACGCATTAATGGACACGTGGCGGAGTACGCATTAAATGATACTTGGAAACGACCACGGTCACGAAGTCCGTCTTTCGCTTCCTTACGCCACGGTTGGACATGTACAGTGAAATGAAGCAGACTAGCAGTTCAGCAGGCCTTATTACGATATCGTGATCTGCTCTCGAAGCTAAAGCGGAAGCATTCTCCATTTTTGACTGAATAAGTGTATAAAATGGATAGCGTAATGGCATTCTTCGAAATCACTGCCTTGTCTGATGTTCATAGCTATGCCTATCAAATAATTACTTGTTTATCTGCATAACTCTTACATCAGTTTCAAGTTTAATCTATTCAAGAACTATAATATGGCATACATTTATGTGGCAGAGCCGCAGTAAAAAGCGTGAACTAAAAAACTGTATTTTAAAATCCCGAGTGAAAAATGTACATTTATTTGTTGGTTTTTTTTTTTTCAAAATTTTGCATTATTTTAGAACAATACCTGGTATGATGTTTTATGGCATGATAGGTGCATTGTGTGCGATTTCAAATATTTTTGTGCCACTTGCTCAGTACGACTTATATACGCGCCATTTGTCAGACGCAGATACACCGGATTATATACAATACATTGTGGCTATATTGCTAACCCCCGCCGCGGTGGTCTAGTGGCTAAGGTGCTTGGCTGATGGCCCGCAGGTGACGAGATCGAATGCCGGCTGTGGCGGCTGCATTTTCAGTGAAGTCGAAAATGCTGTAGGCCCGTGTGCTCCAACTTAAGTGCTGGTTAAAGAACCGCAGGTGGTCGAAATATTTGAGGCCTCTACTACGACGTCTCTAATAACCATAAGGTGATCTTGTGACGTTAAAGCCCACACATCAATCAATTATTCCATTACAACCAGCATATTCACAAACATCTGATAATCAACACTTTAAATACACATTCTTTCTTTCTGGAGCAACAGATGGAAGCCTAGAATATGCATCCTTAATAATACATCAAACGTGTTCAAAATTCAACTTTTCCCAATTCTAAGCATGCGCGCTTTGTGCCCCTGCTAGAAAGAATCATGGCATCTTCAACACTTTTCTTTGACTTGAGAAGCCGGATTATTTTGTTCCGTTTCCGAAAAGGTGGCAGTAATGCAGACCCTCACTCTCAAGCACTAAGCGAATAGCATGAACCAAAATCGATAGTAAACTTACGCCTTTTCCTCGGCTTGCCTTCCGTCTCATATGCATTCCAGGTGACATAGATAAAACACAGTAATAGAGTTACACATAGTTTGGTCATTATAAATATGTCAGAACTGACATTATAAATATGTCAGAAAAATATTGAATGGGCGTCGGGCCAAACACTAATTGGGTCAGTTCGGTTGCCGGCCAGGCTTAACGGAGCATTAATAGACGCGCGGGCTTTCAGCTACGTCTGCATGGCTACAAAAATGATTGTGGATGAACACTCTCTGAATGTCCCAAAGAACTTTTTCTACGACCCGAATATAGATGGTTTGGAGTGGCACTAGCCGCCCACACAATGCCTAGGCAATCGCTGGTATTTAAACTGGTAGTTGTTCTAAAAAGTACAAGAGGGTGCATTTTTGTAACGTATTGAATAAGAAAGTGCGCAGCACACTCTCAGCGAAAACGGCAAAAGCATCATTTTGAGAACCCACTGGCGACTCTCTTGGGAGTACGCTTGCCAGGTATTCACTTTTCCATTAGTTGACATGGTGGCGGATGTCGATTGCAAAGTTTTCGCAAAACATATTGTAATGGGAGGCTATTTTTTAATCACTCACTTTTTACGCAATTCATATTGTGTGACGCCTGGTACACAATTCTCATTCCGTGACACTTAGTCGCTATTTAGCTCTCCCACGCTATATTACGAATGTTAATGCGCTTCCTTGCAAACGTAACACTTGTATATGGCTTCTGGGCGCAGGGGCTCCGACTACCAGCACGACTTTACGGTTGCATACTGGGCTGCCTTGTTTACGACCCAAGTTCAAAGCCCGTTTTAGTAGAAAAAAAATTTCGCTAAAATCACTGCCCCTCTAGGTCTCTGCAAAAGTCCGATTTACTGGTGGCTAAAGACCTATTTAAATAATATTTTTTTTTCTGTAGAGCCGAAAGTTACGTTTCACAACTCGTCATAGGCCCCTTCAAAGCACGAAAATCCAACAGCATACATGCATACTTACGACGTGTCTGCCGGTATGATTGAGTTCAATAAAGTTGAAATTTCACGGTGAAGTATATATAGCGTATTCATACGAATGCTGGCTTTTGTGTAGTCTTACTTCTGTGCATGGGTAAAATAAAAGAGATAATATGTACCTGCCATTTCATTAACCTTTTGTGCGGTGCGGTCATTGTGCTTTAGCGCCTATTATACGAACTTTACGCATGAGTTCGAACCTCCAGGACCCCAACTTCTACATCGCTCAAAACCTTTAGTAGATGCTAATTATTATTGGCTTGGTGCTTTAAAAGCGGTACAGAATGACACAGGAACACACACAAAGTACGATTATTAAATTTCAAAAAATCGGGCCTCTGTAAATTGCAGTCCTATGTAGATGTTATATTGAAGCAAACGTTTAAATTTCAAAATAACAGTATGTTTTGTATATGAATGAACTCAAGCTGTAAAGCTGAATTTTATTTAATAAATTTGATAACGTTTCGTTTTCTTCTGCTATCGTGTGTGTTTCAAGGTGTTTGCAAGTCTTATACGTATGGGACGAAAATAAGCTGTTTTATAGCTTGCGTGAAGAAGTCTTCCAGTTGATAACTTGTTAACACTTAAAAAAGTTCAAGAGCCCTGAAGTTTCCCCGCCAAATGACACAAAAGTGAAAAGGTATTTTATCAAATTAGCAAGTAGTTCTTTTTTTCCACCATACCGAAACAACCAATCCTTTTGCAAGGAGTTTTGCAGGCTAGAGAGTGCACAAGAAAAATACGTAATGCAAACAGCCCCTCCATATCCCTGCGCCAAGCACCGAAACCTCATAGGGCATCATGAGACATAGGGCGCAGCCCCCTCATTGGTCATGAGCCTTATAATGAGACAGTCGACATTACCAAGTTAGAAGAGGAGGAGGAGGATTGAAGCAGGAATGACAGGAAGGTTAGCCAGTTCTCAGATTGGCTGGTTGCCCTGTGCTGGGGAAGGGGGTAAGCGGAATAAAAAATTCCACGCAATCAATGTAGCCCAAATGTAAAACATATGTGCTTTCAAACTCGTGATGGCACGGGTGGAGTTTCCGGCACGATACCTGAAAAAAGAACATTAACCATTATTTACTAATCTACTAATGAACCCATACAGTTATCGGAGTACAATTTATTTCTATCAAAATTATCATTTCTATTCCTAATGTTCAATTGGAGTTCAACGCGATAGCGGTACCCGCGTGCATTTGTGCCCACACACACACACACACATATATATATATATATATATATATATATATATATATATATATATATATATATATATATATATATATATATTTATATATATATATATATATATATATATATATATATATATATATATATATATATATATATATATATATATATATATATGTATTGAGCTAGCAAAACGGCCGCGAGCGCATTATGAAGGACCCAAAGTTGACGCGCGCGCACGCTGGGCACAGCGACGCTACGTTAGCAAAATGTGAGCACTCTATAGTTGGACGCCAGGCTCGACCAGCGTCCGTCGACGCGACCTGATGGCCACCGGCGCGAAATGCGACATGCTGCATTTCCCGCCGATGCGTTACCCAGACAACACTGCATCTCCCTCTTTTCATGACGGAGGGACGCCGGACGCACTGAAACGCGCATGCGTTAAAGCAACACAGCGCGGCACGCGTCTGCTAGTATATTCTTACAAGGAAACGTATATTTGCTCACAATTATGACGATTACACGCGACGACAATGGCTTGCACACTGGCGGCCTGATACCAGTCCCTATCCACTTCGTAGTCTTTTCTTTCAGGCAGAGACCCGCTACCGCTTTATGCCCCAATCCCATTACTGCCTTTCGGCACTACCCCGCGGCGTTAAAAAGCGCCGACCCAGCGCTTGTCACGAAAGGGGAGTGTTGGGTGACACATAAGGCTTCAGTCTTACGACGTGCACAACAGTGGATGGTGGTGGCTTTGAGTGCGCTTCATCGACGACTCGCTGTATCTCGTAGGTGAGGTTGGTGATCTTCCGTAGGACTTTGTATGGTCCGTCATAGCAAAATAAAAGCTTTTCTGAGAGACCGATGTGAGGACATGGAGTCCGCAAGAGTAGTAGAGAACCTGGTGCATACGAAACTTCACGGTGGTGACGAGCGTATCGATCTTTCTGAGAGGCTTGAGAGAGTATGAGTCGTTCTCGGGCAATCTGTCTTGCTGCGTAAACTCGCTCTAAGGAATCGCGCACGTATGTGACAGGGGAGCTTGAACCAGAGGGAAGGAGCGTATCAAGAGGCAGAAAGGGTTCACGTCCATAAAGAAGGTAGAACGGGAAATAGCCTTCGGTGTCATGTCTGGAGCAGTTGTAAGCGAAGGTGACGTAAGGTAACGTTGCGTCCCAGTCACGGTGGTCTGGAGAAACATACATTGACAACATGTCGGTGATAGTACGATTCAGGCGCTCTCTAAGTCCACTAGTTTGTGGATGGTATGCCGTTGTGAACTTGTGGTTTGTGGAACAGGAACGTACGATATCCTGGACGACACGATATCAAAAGTACCGGCCTTGGTCAGTAACAAGCTGTCGAGGAGCGCCGTGATGCAAAATGATGTCATGCAGTAGAAAGTCGGCGACATCGGTTGCGCAGATGGTTGGAAGAGCGCGGGTGATCGCGTAACGTGTCGTGTAGTCGGTCGCCACGGCAACCCATTCGTTCCCGGATGCAGAAGTGGAAAACGGCCCGAAAAGGTCGAGCCCTATACGGTATAATCGTTCAACAGCAATCTCAATAGGGTGACGAAGGCCAGCTGGAAGCGATGTTGGTCGTTTTTGACGTTGACAAGCGACGACAATGCCTGGCACACAGGCGGGCTGAGACCATTTTGTTTGTTTGTTTGTAGCCTCTAATCCATGGCTCATACCCACTCTGGGGGATTGGGCAAGAGAACATATGGTCTCATATGGACGATAACTGCACTATTGCCTACAACGAAAAAAAAGGGGGGGAGGGAGCTGTGTAGTGAAGAGAGTATATTAAAAAAAGAAAGACACCAAAGATTCAGATAGTGAGAAAAAAAATCAACAATAAACTAGACACTAACAGCTATACCTTGATTTTGGGAGCCGACAAGACAGCTGGTTTTGCCAAACCCGATTAATTTGGTATGTCCTGGATTTATCCACATTTCAAAAATTACTTTTCGACCCGTTTTTTTTAGTGCCTGTAAACGTGGGCTTTATGTTGAAAAACGTTTAGAGTCTTGAATAAAATTACACACCACATCGAATGCATCTCTGTGGCGATTTCCCAAAACAGAAGCACCAAAATTTAGAACACTTTCTGTTGTAAAATTTAAACCTAGCTTCGCAAATGAAATAGCTAGAAGTCGTTCCCTAATTAATGCAGAGTTCCGACATGAGCCAAAATAATGTTCAATGGTTTCTGATTCTTTGCAAAACGGACAAAGGGGGGAAAGTGTCAGACCAGCTCTGCGTAAATAAAAATTTAATGGGGTGACATGGCACCGGAATCTGGAGATTACAATTTCAAGTTTTTTTGACGGACCCTACTGGGCTTTCCATGGAAATTTGAGGTGCTGGTAATATGTTCATTGTGTGATATTTTCTAAACTATCTGTAAAAATAGCGAATTTCCTATATCTAACCCCTGATAAGTATTATAACTCGGGAAGTACTGAAATTAGTGGTCCATCAAGTGATGCTCGTGCCAAAGCATCTGCCATTTCATTTATATGTTATCCGCAGTGACCCAGGACCCACACTAATTTGAGGAGTTTTAAATGCGGTGGTGCTGATCTGTGGAACGCAGCTAGGGCACGAGATTGTTCGGAGGTTGTCAGAGCTGCACACACCGAAAGTGAGTCTGTTAGGATGATTGCACTGGTCTCGGTCGTAGAAACTTTACGAAGAGCTAAAATAATAGCTACTAGCTCGGCTTCAAATATAGGAGTGAAATCTGTAAGCCTTACTAAAAAAGACCAGCTGAGGAAATCAGAGGCAATTCCTACGCCTGCCTTTTCATTGTTGACAGAAGCATCTGTAGCTACGACATTATTTGTTTCTGCATATACCAAG